GCCTGTGGGCACATGCAAGAGCCGTAAGAAACAGAAGTGAAACGAATTACGGAATCGGTCAGAAGCTATTCAAATACAGTAACTCTGAGTAAGTCTCACCGCCTATTTATGCACTTGTCCCACCTTTACAGTGATCCTGTCCCGAGAGCTTCCTTTCAAAGAACATGCAGCAGCCAATCATCTTTTATTAGAAACTTGCCATTTCGCATATGGTCGCAACAGTTAAATTCATAATGAACCTCGTTTTTTCATTTGAAATTGAAAATTACATCTATTTTTTCACAGTATCTTTTTGAGAAGAATTTGATAATAACTCGCAATGAATCATTTGTGAACATTTTTACAGTAAATGTTTTTAATTTTGTGTATTGCTATCTGTTTTTATCTAATATAACCATCATTTTTTTAAAGCAAGTTTTATACTTTTCACTTAGCATTTAGTTAATATTTGATTGAGACAGACCTGACCATTTCAACAGGTGGAGCACCAGTTCTTCCCTCAATGTTTTGGTGTTAGATTATCTTACACAACATTGTAACTAGAAATAAATTCCTAAGTTGTTACACATATACTTTTCGCGAAAAAATTTTTTTACTCAAGTAATAAACAGCTTACAGTATTGCATAGCAGATTTCCATAATACACTTAGCAAGTGACTGTTCACTGCTAAAATGAAACAACTGCAAGAAAAAAGTGTTCTCCCTTTAACAAATCTGAATAGAAACCATCGTTTAGGTGTCATTTTTGGCTAATCTTATTCACAAATTTTTGCTTCACCAGCAGCCAGAATAGCAGTTCTATTTGAAAATAACATTGAAAGCAATGTTTAATAAAATGCCAGCACTGGAAAGAATTTAGCCTGTAGCACTGTCGACGGTGGATAAGAAATCATAGCACTTTTAATAGCTGCTTCTTTCACGTCTTTTATAATTTTGGCTACGTACTTTGGATATGTGGAAAGTAGTAATTTGACCTAAAAATTTAAAAATCCCATTCCATCAGTTGTTCTAAGCACTAAATAACGTGGTATCTTTACTGTGCGTTTAAAGACAAGTGACATGTACATTTTTAGTATAAAAATTAACGCCACTAAAACCTACTTTGCTCCTTTCCTCTTTTATTGTAATCTGCATGTTATTTTTTATCCTAATTATTTGTTCCATTGCTGTAGTAACATTTGCAATAATTTCATTTGCTGTCTGTTTAACTTCTGCCGCAAATTTGTCAAGGTCACTTTTCCATTTATCAAATTCTACCTGAAACACAAAAATTTTTGCTTATCTATTCAGATTTAAAATGAATAACTAACAAAATGACTTTGATTTCGAGTGTTTTTTTTTTTGTATATGACAACATACTGCAAATTCAGTTCCCTGAGCTGTAACCCATTCTCCCAGTTGGACATATTGTTGCTGTTTTGTAAGGTCACGGTCGCTTAAAATGACAATAGCTTTTTCCAGCTCTTCTTCGGTCACGTTAGCAAAGAATGGTGGCAGTACGGGAAGATAGGGATTGCGACCGCGATTCAATCGGTTTCCGAAGAAGAAGACAGGTTGTCTTGGGACTGGAAAGCCGTAGCCGTAGCCGTATGGGGGAAAAAACGCTTGCCCTGATCGCTGGTTGCCAATTTTGTTCATTTCATTGTCCCAGTCGCCAAAAGGGTCTTGAAACGCTTGTCCATTCCCGTAAGGTCTACCATATCGAAAGTGTCTGTGGGCTGCTGTGGCGACTACAACGGTAGCGATTAAAACGAGAAACTTTGCCATCTGCACAGAACAGGGAATAAGAGACGAGCTGTGTTGTTTTCAGCGACAAGTGTGTTACATTTATATAGTATCAAGGGCTACTTATCTTTCAATACTGACCTACACGTTCCGGTTTTCAAAATGACTAAAACGAGATTGCTGCACTTTTTTGGCCATGCAAAATTCACATGTTAGCTTAAGTTGTAAAAATGAGAAAACTCTGCAGTGTTCAGCATTCAAAAAACAGCAATTTGTCATCAAATGACGGCATCACAGAAAAAAACTCTCAATAACTCAATGCTTTTCTGCAAAAAATTTGAGATATCAGAACTGACTCTGTTAGAGCTTGACTGTTTTGGAACTTTACCGGTACATATTCTTTTTTCCGTAATGTATTGTAAAAAAAAATTCTGCGAGTATAGAAAATGTCCACAATTTTTTTTCACTACCACAAAAGCCTGAAAGTTCCTCTTTATCAATTTTTAATAAAAGAACAATTTAAAACTGAACTCTAGAAATTTTAGAAGGTTACGCAAACACTTTTTATTATAATGTTTTTCTCTATATTGTGTTAAAATAATAGTCCTGTTTTCAGAAATAGTTTTGAGAACAGTTTGCTGTGAACAGATTTGGTTGTCGCTAATCATCATCTTCTTTTATGCTGGGATACTCACCGAATATACTTTTTTTTCAAATATGAAGGTTTTTAAAGCTATTTGAGAGTCTGAGTAAAATTCAGTTCTGCGTCAAATATTCTAATTCTGCATCTATGGTGAATGCCTATAAACGGATCTGAATGAGTAAATTTAGGATCTTCACGCGTCTCTGTACATATCAGCAGATAAATTTATTTTAATTTTTGAAACAAAGCAAAAATTCTTTCTTTGAGCCTTTTTTTGTGAAATAAATTTGGTCAATTCTAGAGTTGAATAACTTTAAGTCTAATAGGTTTTTATATTTGACTACCTTCTTGACACGCGGCTTCCTTCTCCTATACAAATTTGAATTTTCTCGATCTCCTAAAGACTCTTGCGGCTAGTAATTATGCCGTTGTTCGCGTGAATTGTGATACCATGATGTTCCTAGTTTAATTTCAATTTCTTGATTTAATTTGAGAAAAATTTTTGCTTTTTACTTTAATTAAGAAGTCGAAAATGCACTAAAATTAAAAAAGAATTCGCTAATTTCACGCAGCTTTTTACAGTTTTTACCCCTTTTGCAGTAAAGACTGCTTTTGAGCCAACAATCTGTATCTGACAAATGCACCAACGCCAGACAATTTTTGCGCACGTGCAACAGTTCCTGTCAAGAGAAAAGGCGTAGCTGCTGTACTTGTCAGGCGAGCACAGTTTAAAACGGACTGGTCGGGCTGTACAAAATCTACAGGCGCCGGCCGCCCGAGTGAGGCATGATAAACCTTTGAAACGGGTAGGCCCGGCAACAACTGTACGAGCTCGATGAATATCTATGAGACGCAGGCGCCAAAGGACCTGCTTATAAAGAAGTGCAAAGCATACCCAAGAGCATTCTTTGATGAAAACATTCATGATTAAGATTCGGTGCGTTTTGATTTCCTAGTATTAATCTGTATTCTCTGTAACTCTTTGTCAACCCGTCTAGGAGTATGAGTTGAGTAAATTTGTTAGCTTTGGCTTTTTAAATTACCTTGTTGTTCTGTATCAATTTTCTCTCTTTCTTTTGTCCAACGTTGATTCTTGTCTTGTAAGTCTCGTGTTTCTCTTACATCTCTTGTCTCTTGTTCCTTTGCAGATTTTACTTTATATCCATCAAGTAAGATTTCTTCCTTAAATAAAATTTTAAAGAAGCAGGAACTCCTCGCATTAAAATATTGCAAAAAGTCCTTCAGATCAGTTCAGTAGTCACAAAGTCATTTTAGTTGCAATAATAAGAGTACTCGTTTAGAGATTTATTAATTTATTAAGCATTTGTTTACAGTTTACACCAGCACTGACTTTATAATTTTTGAGGGGTATCAGTGGCACAAGCAGCAGAAGAATTCTTTAAAACAGAAAACCTACTAATTACTTTAATTCAAGCACAACTTTAACAAACAAAAAAAGTATGCTTTGAAAAGGACTGAACTAAGACGAAAAGAGAATATTCAGAGAAAAAAATTTGAGGGCTTACTACAGTTAAGTTGATATCGCGCAACAACTTGAATTGGTGTAAATGTAGATTTTTTGTTTCTGAATGGACTAAAAATTATTTTCGCTTTCAGATGCTTCTTGTGTAGTTTTTCAGAACTATCCTTTGAACGTTAAACTCATTAAACTACTAAACAAACCGCTTTTTTTTGAGGGTCAAATAAGGTTACTTTCCAACATAGAACTACAAATTTTTTTGTTCTTTAGTTTACCATTCGGTTTTATGTTCACAATCATAATCAGCTCAGCCTTGATGTATACAAGCGATGCAAACCAAAATTGCACATACTATGAAAAAATTGAGGTCTGATGATGAATATATACAAAACAGTCTTATCCAGTATCCGCCTTGAGTTAGCATTTTTGCCTATATATATATATATATATATATATATATATATATATATAGGTGAACTTTTTGAATTATATATTGTTAACTTGTGACTTTATCTAATAGTTTGATAACTATCGTACATCTTTTTGAAACATTTATTTGTTCAGATTGCTCATAACAGTGGAACTGAAAACAACGACTAATACCATTTAAATCGTGTTGACAACTGATGACGCATACACATTCAAAAGTTCTCATAATTGTATTAAAACAATTGCTATTTGCAAAAAGTACATTAGAATTATTTAGTGTAAATTATGTGGAAGTTGTAAAACGAGTGACAATTTGAAAAATTTGTTTATTTTGCTCAGTTGTGGTATAATTTCAGTTTGTGGTGTCCGATGGGAGAGATCGGTCAGTATGTCTACTTCAGAACAACATAAGCGATCATTTTGAATGCTGCTGAGACAGATGAAAGCAAATGTTACCAGTGACGACTATGAGAAACAAGTAAACGATATACTATTAGGACTTTCGACGCATAAACATACCAGTAAGCAGTATTTTGAAGATTGTAAAAGCTAACGCTTAGAGCAGCATTTGAAAAAACGACAGTGATAGCTACCTTACTGCAGTAAGAATTCAGGCCTTTTCACAGGCCTTTTCATGTCGGTATAATGTGTTGCAAATCATCTTGTGATATTCTTGTACAATAGGGGTAATTAGAGTATGTTGGTAAGCAATCCAACAAAATTTTGATTAGTTTTCTCTAAATTTGTTCAAAATTTATATGTCTTGCATAATTTGAATGGTCATTTTTGTTGTCAGAACCCCACACTTAAACTGAGGAAAAGAAGAGGGAGGAAAAACAAAAAGAAAAGATATGATAAAAGGTTTACAAATAAAAAAATATTTCTCCTTAATGGCATTATATGCTTGTCTTTCCTTAAGGTAAAAAATTAGAATTTTTTGAGAGTACAGTTTTTGAATCCTGTTCATGATTTTCAGACATTTTTTCTTTACATTATTTTTGGTAAACTTTTTGCTATAATATTTTTTATTTTACTTGCAGATAACAAGAAAAATTTTTAAATTGATTAATAAATCACTTCTAAAAACGAAACCTTTTTGCTTCTTGAACGTGTGATAGCACTGGAGACTGTCTGAAACCATGATAGTGTCATAGTCAAAGGTTCGAAATTCACTATGTCACTTTGAGTGAGATTTTGAGAAGCAGCTATTCAGACTATATACCGTTAACAAAAAAGCCTTGAAAGTTCTTTAATTTGGCAACATTAAATTGTTCCAACGAAAGCTATGAGAGCCCCCTATAAAATACGAGTTTTGCAGAAAAAAAATATCAATTTGAAAAACTGGATGCATTTTTATCGGTTTAAGGCTGGTTAAAATGTATTGAACAGTTGGTTGATATGTACAATTTGTTCTTCGATAAGAGGTGTTTTTATAGTTTATAAAATTATTAGCAATTTTTGACGACATTTTCATATTTAATTTATCATTTTAACAAATCAATGAAAAACTGTATTCGCCAACGTTTTCCAATAATCAATTACGTCTGTTTTGCTTGACGTTTAATGGAAACGAGTTGAAGCAGCAAAGTAAACTGTATTACTGCACTTTATCAAAGAAACTTAGATTATCTTTGATATTATTGCTTCCTTTTTTCTCACTGCAACGTCAGCTTTAGTTGTTCAAAACAGAGGTTTAGTGTTGTCAGCTGACTGGAGGCATATCAGAAATATGTAAATGAATAACCTTTTCAGTTTATTTGCACTAAAACTTGTTGGCACTTTTCATTTCCAGAATTTTTTTGCAAAGTCAAGACGAAAGATCAAAATAATTAAACTTTAGTTTTAAAGTTTATGTTTTTCTAAATCAACAAAATCTGCACAATCAAAACGCACATTCTTTACGGCAAAAGAATGAAAAAATCTTCATAATAG